GTCGCGTTCCCAAAACGTAGAGCAGAACCTCCCTAGTATCAACAAAAATCACTGGTTGTTTACCACCCAACCCCGAAAATCAATCTTTCCAGAAACAATAAAAGTAAACGCCTCCAATACTAGTACAGTCTCCTATAGTAGTACAGGTCTGACCACTGTCCTTTGAAAAAATAAAAGGACTGTACATTTAAGGGCTTGTCGGGAGGGCTGGGGTGAGCTGTAAAATCTTGTACTTATTATTATTATTATTTTATTTACAATAATAATACGATTCGTACGACACGACATGCAGCAGTCGTTGCGACGTTCAACGAGTCATAAGGCACGATCCGTAACGGGGTGACTTTCGGACCTAATTTCTCGTTTTTCGGGACTTCTTTTCAATCATTTCTCCTTCAAAGAAGCGGAAACAAGTTCACAATATCAGTTCTTCATTATTATTATTATTATTTATTAAATTTTTAATAGGGCATTCCCACAGGCCTAAGGCCTTCTTACGGGGTACCCTATATGTTTTTGTATAGATGAGCGGAAGTCTGATAGCGTGGAGCAAATACGAACAGAAGCAGGGAGCGAATTCCAGCGATCTGCACCTAAGAAGCTTAATGCGTACAAGCCATAGCGGTTATTAGCCGGGGGAAGAGCAAGAGACAAGTAACCTGCGAGCGGGTGATTGACGCTGTGTGTGTGGCATTGACTCTAGTCACAAAACAGTCTGTTAAGAGCGGGCTGCACACCTTATGTAATGATCTGTAAATAAGTACGAACAATTTGAATCTCAAACGTAAGGAGATAGAAGCTAGGTGGTATCTGGCTAGAATAGTAGAAATGTCACAGAACCTTGGATAACCAAAAACAGTTCTAACTGCACGGTTGCTGAGGCAAGTCAAGCGATCTTGTTGCCCAGCCTGCAGACTGTGATAAAAAGCATTGGAACCGTACTCCAGTTGAGCCTGTATGAACGCGCAGTAGAAGGTTCTCTTTGCATCAATTGTTAGACGGTCACGGATTCTACGAAACACAGCTAGCTTGTCGCCTACCTTTCGCTCAAGGGCACTGATGTGGTCAGCGAATGTCAGGTGCTGGTCAAAGGTCATACCAAGGTACTTGACGGTGGTCGCTGGTGGAATTAAGACATTGTCAATGGTTAGTCGGAGGGAGGAGCATACTTTTTTCGATCTGGAGTGGAACACAATGAACTGGGTCTTGCTGGCATTCAGGATTAGTCCTCGTTCACTGAGGAAGTCCCTGATACGACACACATCTCGGGCCAGTTCTTCGGTAGTTTGTTGTAGGTTGCGGCCTGCTAGGTACAGGGCGACATCGTCAGCGTACTGGCGCACCATGCTGGAAGATGCTGCCGAGGGCAATTTGCGTACAGATAGGTTAAAGAGCACAGGTCCGAGGGTGGATCCCTGAGGAACTCCCCTGTGAGCTTCGTACAGTTCACCTCTGGATGTACGTGTTACCACTCGCTGCCGCCTGCCTCGTAGGTAGCTCGCAAACCATTGCAGGGCGCTATCTCCGACGCCGATCTCAAAAAGCTCCTGCAGGAGCATGTTGTGATTGACCGTGTCAAATGCTTTCGACATATCAAGAAACGCTGCCACCACAAATTTACCGGCATCCAGACTTTGCTGCCAGTCATTCGCCACCAAGGCTAGCAAGTCATCGCAGGAGTGTTGTCTTCTGTAGGCGAACTGTTCAGGCGGCAGTGCTTGGTTTGCTTGTGGAGCGTCACGCACGAATTCCATTAGCTGGTCAAGGGCGCAGCGTTCTAACAGCTTTGACATTTGCGGAAGGAGCGATATTGGCCTGTAATTAGTAGGATCGCTGTGATCACCTCGCTTATGTATTGGCCGAACGTTAGCCTGTTTGTACGGAGTTGGGAAAGTTCCAGATTGTAGTGAGTCTGAAAATAGCGGAGCGAGAACAGGGGCAATCCCGTCAGCTGCAGACTTGTAGATTGCTGCGGGTACGTTGTCGGGGCCGCACGCTTTACGGCAGTCCAACCGCTTTAGGTAGAATTCTACGAGGCTTGTCGGGATGCGGTCAAAAGTGCAAAAGTTGTGTTCAGGCATCGGACCTAGTGGCAGTGTAGTGTGCGTTGTAGCGGTTGGTGTAGTTGGCGAACCCGGTGATACTATTTCGGAGAATGTAGCTGTGATGGCTTTGACCTCTGCACCTGGTTCACGGTGGATCTTGATTCGACCAAGCAGAGTGTTTAGAACATTCCATTGGCCTCTGGGGTTCTTCCTATTGTAAATAAATTCGTTCTGAAAGAATGTGGCTTGCTTGCGACGCGTGAGAAGTTTGCATTGCCGCCGCAGTGTCCGGAAGTTCTGGACTAGTTGCGGGTCAGCTGGGTTCTTTCTCATTTTCCTGTGCGAACGCTTCCTCCTGAACAACAATTTCCGGAGCTCGTCATCTACCCAAGGGGCAGGTTTGTATTTGCCACGTAGTTTGACGGTTGTCATTGGACAGTGCTTGTCCAGGACCTCAGATACGTTGTGTTGGAATAGTTGAATTCGTTGGTATGTAGTAGTTGTGGTGTCAGTGGATGTGTCGAGCAATGCGGATGCCAGTTGGTCTCTAAAGGTACTCATATCAATCGATCTAATGGGCGGCTTTCTTGTCTGGACCCACTGCTCCTTTGGGAGGGAACGTAGGGTTACTGTCATGTCAACTAGGACAAGCTGGTGGTCCGATGCATCGCATGGCTCGACTGTGCAGCTGTTCACGGTGAAGTGTCTACCTTGTGTGGCCTGAGATAGGTGGGTGTAGTCGAATGTCTTGGGTACTAGTACTAGGTCTAAGATGGATTCAGTAGGAAGTCTAGTCGGCGATATCACTATGTTATGGAGACTGGTTGTGTGGCAGAATGTCTGCAGGTGCTTGTGGTGAGGATGCTGAGTGTCTCGTATGTTCACATTGAAGTCACCAAGAACAATGGTGTGGGACGATTTTGGTGTCTGTGCTGCGATGTCATCAACAGTGTTGGTGAGTTGTTGCCAAAACGACACTGGTGTTGAGGGTGGTCGATATGTACAGATGATATTCAGTGGATTTCCATCCAACCGCAGGTGAATTGCTGCAGTTTCAATGTCAAATATTGTTCTTAGTTGACGGTACTTAAACTTATTTCTGATGTACAAGCAAACGCCGCCTCCTTTTTTGCTTGTCCTGTCAAATCTGTGGACGTCGTAGCCTGGTAGAAAGATGGCACTGTTTGTCGAGGTGGCTGTCAGCCATGTCTCCGTAACAGCAAGGATATCAATGTTGTGTTTGTGCAGAAGATAGTGAATGTCCCTAAGCTTATTCAATAGGCTGCAGATATTAATATGTGCTATAGTAAGATTAAAGAGTAATAATGTATTGCATGCATTTGAATGAGTGATACTTATCTGTGGCGTAGAGGTAGAGATGCTCTGGGGAGTGCTGCATGCGTTGGTGACAATAGTATTCTGTTGTGCGGGGACTCGTCATTGTGCAGGCTTGTCCTGAAGTAACCTCGCCAATTCAGCGTCATCCAGTGGTTTCCCTTGTACCAATATTTTGTCGTAGGGAAGGGAACAAGCAGTGCCAAGCCCTCGCAATTGTTTAAATGTGGGAAGTACCTGTCTCCTTCGTGCCTGTTGACAGGGAGTTAGGTCGTGGCTAACGTAAACCGGTTGACCATTGTGGCGGAGCGTCATTTTATTTCTTAGGAGAGAGGCTTTTCCAGATTTGTTTGTTTTAATGAGGACCGGTCTGGGGCGTACGTTTGTGTCCTCTCTTGGCCTTCCAATACGTAGCACCTCTTGGATCAGAGTGTTTGACGGGACAAGGGTTCGTGAACACCAAAAAATCAGCTCTGAAAGTTGTGGCATTCAAATAATAACCCCAGGAAATGAAAGAATAGTTCGTCTGTCACACTTCTGAACTATCCCTAAATACAATAAGTGACAAGAGATCTTATGTTACATGTACTAAAATTCAACTCAAGTCAAGTGCTAGCCATTCTGTGAGTTATCATGGGAAGCGCAGTGTTCGAAATGCTAAAAAGTTCCAAGTACGAATCGGGAGTAGTCGGCGCACGACGCCGTCTCCTGTTCACACTCGAATTGCAGCCGTTTTGTACGCTTGCGCCCCAGGCCTCGACCAAATATGCTTGCGCATATTTCCGCATATTTTGTGAGACAGTTCATATATGGCATATTGAGCCTGAAAGGGAATATTGGAATCAAGCCAGCATATAATTCAAATATTCTGAAGAAAATGAGGACAAAACATTCATGTTATGGACAAAATGCGGTCAGAAATGCCTTTTATGGATGAATTTGGAATGGTTGAGGCGTTTGCTACATTTCCCCAGGGATGAACACTATCGCCACGGTTGCTGGGGACACACACCAGCCATACTATTCTGCATGTGTTTTGATTTGCACCATAAGCATGATAGCCGTGAAGCCAATGAATATTCCAAGGTTGTAATTCTACTGAAATGATCTACACTTTCTGCCTATGTCGAGCTTATTTTGGCATATCTTTTTGCATATCTTGCCTTTGGCATATTATGACCGTTTTCCCTGATATGCGACGACCATATTATTATGCTCTTTTTTAGCATATTTGGTCGAGGCCTAGTCCCCGTCTACGCCCGTCTACGGTATGAAAAGTTGGATCGATCCAACTCTTCCCGTCGCTTCCCGATCTGGACGGTAGTACGGTTGCGTTCCCGTTCTTGTAGGCTCTATTCGGGAAAATACGGTACTTCTGTTTGCTTCCACGTGGTACACGGCTACGGTGTAGCACTGCACGTGTTCCGTCAGCTTGAACTGCATACATCGTACTTTAGTCCTACTCACACTTCATGTCACGTACCCGGCGCGCGGTTCTTCTGCGCTCTACTGCGCAGTACGGTAGTATTCCACATTTTATTTCCCGTATCCTTTTCTGGCTGGGTGGGGCCTTTTGCTGTTTGTCCTTGGAAAAAAGGACTTGTCTCTTCCGCTGGAAGTTGGAATTCAGTAGCCGTTTAGCCGTTTAGCCGCTCTTGAATGATGGTTTGGAACTAAAACACGGCGTAGAAGTAACTATTGTCTCTTGACTCTCTGGTGTATCATTATTATCCGTCCGATATCAACTAATCGTCAGAGTGAGTGCTGTATCAAGTGCTGGCGATAGTTGTTCAGTCTGTAGCTAAGTAAGTCTCTCTTCTCTGCTCGCAGACCGTTTTTGGATCGTCACTTTGCTGACTTTGGTCTACTTACCCTCCGTCGTCTTCTTGGTGAGTACAAGCTACTAGTCCCCTTCTCATGGTCTATATCGTACTTGTGCTTCGTTTCAACCCGCCGTATTCTCTATTGGCTCCACGGCTGTGTGAACTATGATGCCGGTGTCATTCTTGTATTCCATATGACGTGTGTTAATGTGTTCTCGCCGTCTGCAAGAACTATCGGCATGTATCTGGGTGTCAGGAAGAGATTTTAGGCGCGTGGGTTCCTGGTCGACTGGGGTCAGCGAGAATCGTGGAGCAAATTGTTAAAGGGACTCGTCCTACTCTCCATATTGCTCATTGTAGTAGAGTATTGAATTGTGATATTAGGAGTGGAAATTGCTGACACATGTAAACTCCATGCGCCAAACACTACATTGTACCTGTATGAAACTCGTAAACACTTACCGTAAAGTACCGCCAGAGCGCCCCACTATCTCGTCCTTTCGTAGTCGCCATGTGGAGGTGGATTCCTGTCTGTAGGTCATACGACACGGACCTTGTACAAACATTGCACATTGTGCAGTCAATCCGTACCCAGTTTACCTTCGAAGCTTCGAGCTCCACATAAAAGCATACCAAGTGTGACCTTAGTACACGAAGGTTCTCACATCGTACAAACGTAGTAGCATTCTGCCATACGATTTTCTTCCCCTGGGTGTAAAATCAAGGTGGGCGCTCTCGCGAGACGGGGCGCTCTGGCGGTACTTTACGGTACTAACTAGTAGAGTTGTATGTACCGTAAAGTGCCGCCAGAGTGCACCGTCTCGCGAGAGCGCCCCGCCCCACCTTGATTTTACAGCCAAGGGAAGAAAGTTGTATGGTAGAATGCTAAGTTAGTTTGTACGATGTGAGAACGTTTGTGTACTAAGGTCACACTTGGTATGCTTTTATGTGGAGCTCGAAGGTAAACTGGGTACGGATTAGTATAGTAGTAGTAGTAGTAGAATTTATTATTTTACTAGGGAACTCCCAACAGGCGTTGCCTTTTTACTGGGAACCCTAGGAATGACTTGGTGCTTGTGACAAATGCAGAAAGGGGCTTAGCTTGACGACATCCAGGTGGAAGGATTGACTGCACAATGTGCAATGTTTGTACAAGGTCCGTGTCGTATGACCCACGGACAGGAATCCACCTCCACAAGGCGGCCACGAAAGGACGAGATGGTGGGGAGCTCTGGCGGTACTTTACGGTAGTACCAAGAGTACATAACCCCAAGAGTGTAAGTGCCTGCACAACCTCTATGCTGTGCTGTGACTAGTCATGGCCCAAATTTGCTCGGCCTACATCGATATTTTGCCCCACAATTTTGCCACAAAATTTTCGATATTCTGCTTGGCGTTTCCTTTCTCCGTCGGTATTTTGCTTTGGTTTTGCTCGAGATCAAATGAGTTTTAGGGGAAACTCAACGATAATTGTCTCTGATGACGACGATATTTTTGATTGAGCTCCTGCTGCTGCTCAACTTTCCAATGAAATGTAGCCATGAGTCTGTTTTCTACAACCTTTGTGCTTGTTTTCAACCTTGGTGACTGATTGTGTTGAGGAAGTCCCTAAGAAGCCTTGGATTTTTCGAAAAGCCCACCAAAACTCGATATTTTGCTCAAAACTTGCCGGAAACTTGCGCATCCGATATTTTGCTCAAAGAATTGCTAGCAAATTTGGGCTATGACTAGCTGCGACGGAAGAACTTCACATCACGTGACATGGTTCAAAAGGTTATGCTGGCAAACAGTGCAAAGTGACCACAAGAGAGTTGTACCCAAAGCTGGGCTGCGTACAAACCTGAATCTATCATGCACATAGTGCAAATAATGTGTACGGGTTCATCACGGATGTGAAGTTCTGCCGTCGCAGACCCCATAGCTGGAGTTGCACACTCTTGGGGGTTATGTACTCTTGGTAATATGTACAGTTGACTTTCTTGCTTATTTCTTGTCACAAGATCAGCGCATTGTAGTCACTTGTAATCCAGGGCGTGATGCTGAAGGGGAAATCGTCTCGTCTCGAAGCGCTGTTGTTTAGCTCATAAGGACACACTTTTGCTGCACCTCACGCAGGTTCACGTGGCTATTTCCCCGTATCACCTACGTTTTTTTTCTTCGGGTGCGCATTGCTGCTTATTGTACAAAAGACGAAACACGCACACAAATTTCTCATCATCGCCTCGGTGATTCAGTTGAACTAGGCCCAATAACATAAAAGGCGCTTCTTCTTTCCATTCTTCACTTCGTTGTGAGATTGGTTTTACGGAGGTGCACACTCTGGTTTATGTACTCTTGCTTGAATTGTTCTAGATTTCAAATCTTTACCAGCGGGGGAAAAGCATGAGAAGAATTTGTGAGCTTGAGCCCATAACAAACTGTTGTCAGTCTGCTGGCTGGTTTTACTGCCTGTTTTCGTTGCTTGTCATGTACTCATGTTTTAAGAACTCTCGAAGTGCCATTGAGCGGGACTCAATGTGTCATAACTCAGCTAGATCTCCACGGATCTTTACAAACGATAGCTCTGTGGAAAGATATCAAAGCCAGGTAGACAAATACGAAGCGAAGATACAGCGAAATTGTCTTCTTCGCGAGGATGTCTGATCGAAGTTCGTGCTCTGCATTTTCGTAGTATTTGGGCTTTCCCAAGAGCTCTATCGAGCGCAGCACCGTCAACTTTCAGCGCGGATAAAGTTGACCTGAAAGCCACTGAAAAACTCGAATTCTCAATGTTTTGATTGCCAATACGCATGGATTGCCGTGAAAAATAGATAACAGCGATGCTCATATTTCATGTTTTCTACTCGCGACAATTGTTTGTCCGAGTGGCACACTTCAGGCTTCGCCCTGGCGACATCTATATTCCTTGACACAAAACGATGTGATGAGTCGATAGCCAAGGTCTTCCTGAACGCCTAGAGTGGTCGTTTGTAACTATCCTGTGTTTAGAAGTGGAGATACGAAAATATTTGTACACACATAATCATTCTGGTGGCCTCAAGTCGCCCTTAGCAGTACAAGCGACCGAGTACGGTTTAACACTTTCAATGTTATCACTCCTCAAGTCGCCCTTAGCAGTACAAGAGACCCAGTACAGTATAACACTTTCAATGTTGTCACTCCTCAAGTCACCCTTAGCAGTACAAGAGACCCAGTACAGTTTAACACTTTCAATGTTGTCACTCCTCAAGTCACCCTTAGCAGTACAAGAGACCCAGTACAGTATAACACTTTCAATGTTGTCACTCCTCAAGTCACCCTTAGCAGTACAAGAGACCCAGTACAGTTTAACACTTTCAATGGTGTCACATGGTTATCAAGAGCGTTGCTGTTGTTTCAATAAGGCACGAGGATTTTTTTGTTCTGCTTTCGGAAATCGGTCGTGTGCTTGGAGCGTGTGTTTGAGACATCCGTATTGTTAGTTTGTAAAGCGGAGGAAACGTTATTGGCGCAGGCAAAGCCTTAAATGTGGTGTGATGTGTTGTTGGACGTCTAATGTGTGTGTGGGTGCGGGTTTGCGTGTATGTATGATCGGTCTGATGATCGGTTTAAACCGTGAAACTCAGAGTTACAGAAGAAACACTTTTTGTCCCTCTCAAGTGTGTGTACTAGGCTCTGCACCTTGGTGTATTGAGCACTCTCACGAGCAACCACAACCCCCTCCGAGTATGTATGCGTGTGTGTGTGTGTGTGTGTGTGTGTGTGTGTGTGTGTGTGTGTGTGTGTGTGTAGCATTATAGTAATAATGCAGATTGATGGGTGCACACGGCTGCTTCCTGCTGCCACTATGCTGTTATGATTGCTAGCGCTTTTACTGCATGCTCATGCTTTGCTGCTGGCTACAGTCACGTACCCTGTACATCACGGTAACCACGTCCGACAAACGTCTTGGTGCATGCTCACATGGTACTCTATGCGTCATGGCATTCTATGTGTCATGCAACGAGACACTCAACGTGGCATTCATGCATTCATGCGCCACGCTCAACGTAGGCGGCATGCGTCGTGGGCACTCAACGTGGCATGCTCAAGTTTGCCTACCGAAAAGTCGCGGATAAAAGCCGGGTTTGCATACAAGCACATCGCGGATAGAAGGCTGAAAATCAAACGGGTCAAATGCATATGAGCTTGTCGCGCGCAGAAGCCTGGCTTCTGATAAGTTCTATGCAAGCGCGGATCGGGTAGGTCAAGAGTGCATGCGATACGTACGGTGCATAGTAAAACTGCCGCCATACCAGTAGTCAGTTTTAGATCTACGCGTGTCGCGCGTAGAAGATGTGCATACAAGCCTGGCAAAATATCAGTGGTGAATATAATCATGGTTTGCATTAAAGCCTAATGCAGAAAGCGGCTTATTATGCTTATAAGCCCGGCTTTTATCCGCGACTTTACGGTAGGCGGCATGCGTCGTGGGCACTCAACGTGGCATGCTTTTAAAAGTTTGTCTAGTTTCTCATCTCACATTTACTTTGATAAATGAAATAAACGGGTGTTGGCCATGCTCATTTCCGGCTACTGAGGCCCTCGGTCTTCGCCCTCGGACGTGACTATCCTCTTGGCTCCGCCAAGATCCTGCTCTCTCTGTAGTATCTCACTTCGCTGGCCAGCACCCTACGTACCGCAAGCTGCTGTATGTTGTAGTTAGTGTGTGTGTGTGTTCGTGTGTGTGTGTTCACGTGTGTGTGTTCGCATGTGTGTGTTTGTGTGCTGTTTGTGTGTGCTCTGTGCATGTGTGTGTGTGCTGTGCATGTGTGTGTGTATCTGTGTGCTCGCGTGTGCGTGCTGTGTGCATGTGTGTGTGTGCTGTGTGCTGTGTGCATGTGTATGAGTGTGTTTGTGTAGCATTATACTTGGTCCGACTTAATAAAATGTTCCCTTCGCTTTAAAACTCAAGCCTTTGTCCAAAGGAGCACCTGTACTAAAATATCGACCAAGAGACGATAGATAGACAACTACTGTGTCGTTTCTTGGCCTGACCTTCTAGTTTTCATCTCTGCTGGTGTGTCAGGGCGCTTCTTCAAGTGCGTCAACTTGCAAAACGTCGACATTTTTTCATCTCCTCCAAGCTACACTGCGCTTCCTTGACTTGTTCAATCCATAGGCACGATTTAGACGATCGACTTCGCCTCCTCCTCGTGCCGTGGCCAGCAATCAAGGACATCTGAGAGTTGTAATTTTTGTACTCCTCCGAGGTGTGATTTTTGGCGTGCTGGGCCAAGCACAAGGAAGCCATCTGCAAAAAAACTGCAGAAAATGGTTGTTGTTTGATCCTTTGGTGTAATCTTTGTTTCTAGTCGAAGCTAGTTGCTGTTTGGAGCAGAAACGCTGAAATTGACTATTTTCTGTATGTACTCATACATGTACTCATGTACTCAGGCATGCAGTCTCACTCGTATTTTAGCTATTTTTCTGGAATGGATGCTGCTCTGCGCCCCTTGGTGAACATTTCCTGCGCTCGTGGAGCAGCTGAAAAGGACCACTGGTATGTCTGGTTCCTGGTTTGAAAGTAGAGAGTCGACTTTTGTGCCTTGAAAAAGGAGTAGAGAGCGATACAGGTACGTCTGTGGCTGATTTTTGAGTGCTCCTCGTACATTTTTGATCGTGATAGAAATTCTCAGAACAAAGTCAGACCAAAGTCAGCGCGATGATGGTCGTACAGTTTTCTTGTGAATTTTTTAGTTGTTTCATCTCGTATCTATGTCAGTATCGTGATGGTGAAGTGGAGAGGGTGATTTTCTTCCTCTAGGCTTCGTTCGGCCGACTTTGCTTCGTCCTCGTTGAAAAGTGATCCTGAAAAAAAGGTCGATTCGCAAAATTATGTTGATTTTCAATGTACGAGATGACATGCGATTGCTGGCTATGAGTACGACTGCCAGAATGGTGGCTGTAGGTGTTTTCGCCTGACGCTCCCACGACACTTTCAAATGAGGCAAACAAGTAAACCACCACGCATAAAAAAATCACTTCTCATCACTGTGTGCCAATCGCGTAGAACTAATGAGTTTGATCTGTGTCGACATGACTGTCACACAGTCAGCTGCATGAGACCATGCGTGCTCTTCCCTGCCTGTTTCACGAATCCACTGGCCCCGGAGACTGTCGATCTTGTGACGCATCGCGATCGCGACTCCGAGGAGTCGGCGAGGACTCCGCACCATTCACGCACCGTATTCACCCTTTCTGCGCTTCAGTTTTCCAGCCAGGTTGTCGCCTGAAAGTCGACCTCAAGGGCGGTTGTTTATATCGATCAACTAATTACTTCTCGACTATCTCTTCTGTGATCTTGATTCGTCGGCCGCCACATCGTGAACGAATGCGAGAGAGATCAGCGCAAACTGGACGGAGCGATGGAGGTGCTTTCTACACGAGTTTCTGTAATGACGTGTTTGCTGAACTTACTTGATTATTCCAAGGAAACAGCGACTGCAGCGATTTCAATCCGCCATCAAGCACTCGAGAACGCTCGCCCAGGAGTTTCTGGTACTCCGTGACAATTCCCCATCGCAGTGGGGTGTTGATTTCAGCGCCAGGCCTTCTCTGTGTTGCGCGAGAAGCAACAGGAGTACTCTGACGACAAAATTTGCACGCAAAATGCTCGAGCCATTTCTTCTTCAACATTACAAATCGACAACTGAAGGATAGTGTTAGGTAGCTGGAAAGTTTGTTCCAACCTGAGATTATTTGAATTTGTTTGGCTGACGTTCGAAGCGAAACGCACATTTTAATAAGTCGGACCAGGTAGTAATACCATATTTTACCGGTTGTAAGTCGACCCCGGTTATAAGTCGACCCCCCTATCTGGAGGTCTCAATTCTGCGTTTTAAAGTTTTCACCCAAAGAAGCACTACTAACCACCTCCTGCTACTAACACATCAACAAATCATATAAACATTCCTTATTGGAGGATATAACGTCCCAATCCTTGAAAAAGGCCAATAAACTGGCAAAATGTGTAAACATGGTGCACTCGTGCATGCAGTGCAGGTCATTTTTTTGTAAGATACTGATAGTTCCCGGTTATAAGTCGAATCCCAGTTGTAAGTCGACCCCCACCCTTTCTCCTTCTATTTTAAGTCGTAAAAGGTCGACTTACAACCGGAAAAATACGGTATAGCAGATGAATGAGTGCACGTGGCTGCTTCGTCCTACCACTCAAACTATGCTGCAATGATTGCTAGCGCTTTTACTGCATGGTCTTGCTTTGCTGCTGGCTACAGTCACGTGCACTGTTCATCACGGTAACCATGTCGGGCAAACGTCTTGGTGCATGCTCACATGGTACTCTCTGCGTTCCGGCATTCTACTTGTCATTCCACATGACACTCAACGTGGCATTCATTCATGCGCGACGCTCAACGTAGGCGGCTTGCGTCTCGGGCACTGCATGTGGCATACTTAAGTTTGCCTAGTTATATATTTCGATCCGTTCTGTGTGTGGATCACTCTTGTTAGATCGTTGTGTTCCACTCACCCACCTCCCGTTTTTCATCTCTCATTTTCTTAGAACCAGCGAGTTTGCGATGGCAAAAGGTTCGCGACACGCTCGGACCACTTACATCCACCCACTGTTAAAGTTAGATTTCACGCTGGTTAATATTCGCGTTACGCTCTTCTCGTGAAATATCGAACATTAATCCATCGCGATTATTAGCCAGTTTACATTATTTGCCATGCTCATTTCCGGCTGCTCAGGGCTCTCGGTCTTCGTCTCTCGGACAACGTGACTATCCTCTTGGTTCCGCCAACATCCTGCTGTCCGTAGCCTCTCACTTTGCTCGCCAGCACCCTCAGTACCGCAAACTGCCGTATGTTGTAGCTAATGTGTGTGTGTGTGCTGTGTGTGCGTGTTTGTGTGCTGTGTGTGTGTGTGTGCGCGTGTGTGTGTGTGTTCGGTGTGCGTGTGTGTTCTTATATGTGTGTGTGTGTGTGTGTTCGGTGTGTGTGTGTGTGTGTGTGTGTGTGTGTGTGCGTGCGTGTGTGCGTGCGTGCTGCGTGTGTGCGTGCGTGCTGCATGTGTGCGTGCGTGCTGCGTGTGTGTGCGTGTGTGTGCGTCGTGTGCAAATGTGTGTCTGTGTGTGTGTGTGTGTGTGTGTGTGTGTGTGTGTGTGTGTGTGTGTGTGTGTGTGCTGTGTGTGTGTGTGTGCGTGTGCGTGTGTGTGCGTGTACCTGTTAACCATGGACTGTTTCTGGCTAGATTAACTCTTGTGTAATCACTGGTGCTAGTGAAGCTTATTTAGCCAACCACACAAATATCAAGTATTACTGTAGTAAAAAATTCACGGTTCCCGTGAGACTCGGCCAAAGGCCCAGTTTTCCGCATCCGCACTAGTAGTAGTAGTAGTATTCTTTTATTTTCTGTCGGAAGCCTCAGCAGTGATGAACACAACTCTTAAGAGGGCCGATAACAGAGTAGAGGGGTGTGGGGTGAGAAAAATAATAATAAGAGATGTTCAAACTAAACTAAACTGATACTTGGAACAATAAAGCAGCAGTAAGCAGTAAGCAATAAACACAGGTATACAATAGAAGCGATGCAGATCAATGAGGCCGTTTGCTGAAAAGAAGATCAAAATACTTCTGAAAAGACGCTGCGTCTTTAAGCATGGTCATAATGGGATAATGCAAGAATTAAAGAAATGTTTTTAAAAACGAATTTAAACTAGGAACGCAGTAAACACAGTTATACAATACAGGCGGTGCAGATCAATGAGGGAGTTTGCTTAAAAGAAGATCAAAATACGTCTGAAAAGACGTTTAGCATGGTCTGAAGGCGCTTAGCAAATGTAGTGCGGTGCTGGGTGCGCCACTCCACAGGCAAAGAATTAAAGAACAGTGCAGCACGATTTGAAAAGGAATTGACACCGTCAATCATCCGGAATTTAGATATTGCAATAGCAGCATTAAAAGAGCTTCTTGTTGTCCTAGGGCCGGTTGAAACTTGAGGGAAAAGGTCCGTCAGATTTGGGAGAGGGAAACCGACATGATTACTCAGGTAGAATAAGGACACTTTTCTGGTGCCGCTGTACTTCAAGATCAGCGCTGCAACTCGCCATGGTGATAATGTGGCTGACGTCATGTTACCAAGGAAAACATGGCGTTTGGCCGTGTTTGCCGCACTCGAGCGCTCGCCTTTTTTTCACAATCTTGTTTTGAAAAATACTTCAAGTCTTTTGCAGCACTTTTGGAGGCCAGTCACATCGCGATCTGTACGAGTATCTTTATCATGGCCATTGTCTTGTGTCGTTTTGAGCTCGAATAGCTTTCTCTGATGAAGGATTCAAAATATATCATGACGTTCTCTTTTATCGTGGGCATGAAGCTCCCCACTCGCAGCGGAGATGACATCGGACGGAATAAATGTGTCGAGTCCAGAGCAGGAGTTCTGCTGACAAAAGTGATTGGCTCCTCGCGACCTGGGGCATGTGAGGACTACAGTTCTAGTTGGGCAATACCCCACGGACACATCTACCTGGGAGCGCAGAGTCGATTGAGAAAAATGTCATGACGTTCTCTTTTATCGTGGGCATGAAGCTCCCCACTCGCAGCGGGGATGACATCGGACGGAATAAATGTGTCGAGTCCCGAGCAGGAGTTCTGCTGACAAAAGTGATTAGCTCCTCGCGACCTGGAGCATGTGAGGACTACAGTTCTAGTTGGGCAATACCCCACGGACACATCTAGCTGGAAGCGCAGAGTCAATTGAGAAATATGACCAAGATCATAAAGAAGGCTTGCTTGCTTCCACAAAATGTTTTAGTAGCCAAGTCCACGCACTGAAAACTGCACTTGCTTTGTTCCTGTCCAGTCGACTAGTCATAAAGTACATCAGTGCAGTACAGAGTGCACTTGCAAGTCACAACGACACGAGCACAGTCACGTGTACAGACTCAGTGAGTCAGTTCACAGTTGTGACCAGCGATCGCGCGTGGGAGTCAAGTACCCTACTCAAGTGCGCATGCTCGGCTCGCTGCATGCACTGTCTGTAGATCTACACAGCCGATTGGTGGTGTGATGCACTACATGTACAGCGCAGTTATTTTATGTGTAAGAGACAATGTCGGCTATTTTGAAACGGCAATGACAGCTTCATCCATAAACGCGGAGCGTGGGGAATGTCTTTGGCGAATGAGAGCTGTTGCATTGGCTAGCTGTACATCCCAGCAAGCGGGAATGTGCTGGATATCGATACTAAACACCCGTTCATCGCGGTGGTGAGTCTGAACAGACCCCGAGGTACGACAGCTTCGTATACTAAATGTGTACAGTGCGTATGGTGAAACAAGTCGATACTGGTTTCCAGCGAAATGTTGTTATCTATGTACAATATCCACCAATATCCTTTATCTAGGGCCCAAAGGCTATCCAGTTCACCAGGATTTGTGGCCTTACTATTTTTCGTTTTCTCCGCGTTTTGGGTTGAAATCTGAACATAAAAAGTAGCACTGATGACGTCATTCAGCTCATAATTTAAATTTGATATTGGAAATCGATCACAACTAACCCAATGTATCACCACGGTAAAAATTTGGTTGAAAAATATTAATGTATGCCAAAGTTATTACCACTACAAGTTTTGTACACACATGATCACCTTATTATACCTGAGTAACATGGATAGATTTAGCAATGCTACGAATAAGGTAATGTTCAAACGGATCAATCGACAATCTACCTAACAGCGCATGATGTCATCTTGTAGGTGATGACAGTCATGGCGAGCAAAACTGAAATACCACTTCTCCGAGGGGATATTGCGCTGCTTGGCCTCTCGACCACTTTAGCACTAAGTTAGTTGGAGAGCGATAGAGAGCGATAAAACGGAGCAGCGAGCCAACACAATGAGCGAACGAAGAAGGAGCTGCTCCGATCGCACGGCTCAATGAAAATAATTCTGAACTCAAGTTCTTGCTCAACCTGCGCAAAGCCCAGATTCGAATGCTGATCACCACGCATTCTTTCAGAAGTCTGCAGTCCGATGCGAGTCTCATGGCTAAATAAAGTCGACTGGACTTGCTAGCTGCTGCCGTTCAGTGCTGGCAGGGGTATCCATTAGAGCAAATGGAATCAGTTTGGCTGTGCCTTTACTCCTCGTTTCGCGGAGTTCTGGAGAGCCAAGATGAAACCAGGGAGTCGTAAAATATTTTTCACGACTCCCTGGTGGAAACGAGTAATCGCCATGGCTGCAGATCACGGAGCTTGAAAGGCAACTTACTTGAACGACGGCGACGTCAAGGTCAGCAAAGTGTGATCAAAGAAGCCGAAGCAAGGCTGAAACAAGCTGAACAACGACTCGAGAGAGATGACGACTCGCGTGCAGGAGATGACGACAGCGACGCAGGTCTAAAAAGAGTCGAGCGAAAGCGACGCAAACTGAACTCTCTGCTCATTCTGCCCACAGTTTCTCTTGTAAAGACGCTGTACATAGGCTGAACCACCTTCGTCGAGTGATTTGCATTCGATACAAACTGTTCTTGACCTGTTCTAGGCGTTTTCATATCCCTCAAAATCCATCACGAAGTTTTTGTTAACGGAGGAAGTAGAAATCATCAAAGTTACAGTCTTTGTTGTATTAATCCGCAGCCCAAGCTCGTCTAGATCCACAGAAATTGCAGATAACGAATCAGTAACGGTAGCGACGGCCTCAGCTTGTGTACGTCCGCTGGCATACAACGTCATGTCGTCAGCGAACATCGGGAACTTGCAAGAAAAGGCCTCTGCTGTCAATGGGAGCTTCCGTGCATAGATGTTAAATAGAACTGGACGCAGAACTGTGCCCTGTGGCACGCCACTGGTGATTGCCACCAACAGAGATGTTCCAGTGTGGGTAACCACCCGCTGTTGTCTGGCACAAAGGTATGATCGGAACCAGGCCAGGGCCGCTCCCGAAATACCGACAGCTGCGAGAGCAAGAAGAGGCTGCTGATGCTTCACCATATCGAACGTTTTTTTCAAATCAATACAGACAACCGCCGTATGCAGTCCAGCGTCGCGCGAGACAAGCCAGTCGTTCGTAACCTTGGTGAGAAGCTGTCCGGTAGAATGGTGCTTCCGAAAGCCAAACTGGTCCACATGGAATGGGCAACGATCATTAAAAAAAGATGTATATGAGAAAACACAAGCCCCTCCAGGAGCTTGGCTAGGATAGATGTTAAAGACACTGGGTGGTAGTTAGAAGGGCAGTCGCGTGGGCCTTGAGTTGACTTCAGAACTGGTGTAATGTTTGCAATTATGAACAAGGATGGGAATTGACCAGACGAGAGGGAAGTGTTGAATAAGATAGCGAGTGATAGAGCAATTACGTCTTTTGATATTTTAAGAGAGCATGTCTGAGAATACCAAAGTATGTGTGCAAGTGGATCTCTCCGATTTCGCTCAAAATTTGCAGGTAGGTTCTCTTTGGGGTGTGGATCGATTATGCAAAGCCCTTGAAAAAGTTTCTGAAGGGAACCTTGAAATTTGCATACCCCTCAAAAATGGCCGAAATATCACATTATTTATGGGTCTAGAAACGAGTCACGCCACAGCGTATACGAACAAGCTATGAACAAAACTCCATCAAGCCAACATTGCCTCACCTTAGAAGAGTTCCTGGAGCAGTACCGCTTAGCCACGCCAGCATCCCAGAAGACGAGGTCCATCACCCCCTGACGCCACAAATGATGACAAGCTTCTCCTTGCGCCACCAATAATTTTTTGTGCGACTGTTGATGCAAAAGTGACTGAAGGCCTGAGCGCAGTTTTTGAATTTTATTGCAAGATGCACGGTGAGATCGCGTGCTCTGTGACGTAGGATGACGCTTCCTGCATCACGTTACGCGGCCATCGATCGCGAATGTGCCTGGAACGCTACTCGGAACAGACCATGATGGCAGAGGTAAGATGAGCTTCATCTCCTGCTTGAACTGCTGAGAACCCCCACAAACTGTCCTAGGAGTGTTGCAATGGCAGCAAGCCGTTGGAATATGCCCCGTACAGCATGGAGAGTTATTCGTCTTTCACACTTACCTCCTGCAATCCCGAACATAGTCCAACAGTAAAAGTCCCTTGTTTTCATGTCGATGCTCGACAAAAGCGACTAGCTCGGTCCCTTTGTGTTGACTGGCACGCGAGCAGCACTGGCTGCACGCACTTGTCGCGTGAACTGCATGAGAGATTTCTTACGTCATAAAGAATGTGATTTCATCATCATTTCACTGGTCTTCGACCTACATGGTCAGGGAAAGTCCCGGTTCGTAGGCCTACCACACGGTCAGCGTGTTCTTGAGCGCCGTAACGGCACAAGTGTGATCACTTCCAGACCAACGGGCGTTCAAGGCGAGTAACAAGCGCACTTGACAAAGGTGACTCTGAAATCGCGTGAGCCGTGGGCCACGCGACTTGGCATTCTTGCGTCACAAGGCACGTGATTTCACCGTGCATCTTGCAATAAAATTCAAAAACTGCGCTCAGGCCTTCAGTCACTTTTGCAGCAACAGTCGCACAAAAAATTATTGGTGGCGCAAGGAGAAGCTTGTCGTTTGGAGTGACAAGTGATCACCGCTGCTTTTCCTTGTCAGAGTCAACACTACACGTTGTTCTGCGGCCTTGAGAGTAGTGTTGGAGTAGAAATTGCTGAGGAGACGTCGCGGAGTGGTGAGCTTTCCTGCGCAGGTATGACTTTGGCCGTATTTCAGCATGGTCGAGTAGAAAAATTCAAAAATGTTTATTTCAAGAAAACCCCAAAAGGAAGATGGGGGACATGTCCTCAGCGCTAGAAGAGGTGTTCTTGTTTTGCCAGCGCTTGTAAATTGGCTATTTTCAAGACGATCATTTGTGGCGTCAGGGGGTGATGGACCTCGTCTTCTGGGATGCTGGCGTGGCTAAGCGGTACTGCTCCAGGAACTCTTCTAAGGTGAGGCAATGTTGGCTTGATGGAGTTTTGTTCATAGCTTGTTCGTATACGCTGTGGCGTGACTCGTTTCTAGACCCATAAATAATGTGATATTTCGGCCATTTTTGAGGGGTATGCAAATTTCAAGGTTCCTTTCAGAAACTTTTTCAAGGGCTTTGCATAATCGATCCACACCCCAAAGGGAACCTACCTGCAAATTTTGAGCGAAATCGGAGAGATCCACTTGCACACATACTTTGGTATTCTCAGACATGCTCTCTTGAGGAGACATGGAAGAATGCCGTCCGGCCCAGGGGCTTTATTACTTTGGAGGTCACCGATCCGACGCTTCACCTCTGCTACTGTAACAGCTGAAAACGCAGTAAGGTCGTCGGATTTAGCAGCTCCCATTGGGAGCTTGTAATTGGCTTCCTTATCTGTGACAATCGAGTGAAACATAAGGAAGCGAATTACCAGCTCCCAATGGGACTGTAAAAGCCATAATATGTAACGAAGTACTTATTCTAACGAGTTAACGAGGAGAAATCTGTCGTTAAAATAGGAATCGTTACACAGAAATCGATACATATACTGTCCTATTGAGCTTTGAGAATGAGTGAGAATCGTAACCTTTGGTACACGTAAACTAGTCAATCTTGGGAAATCGTTATATGCGCCTCGTTAGAAAAATGGCTTTACAGTACCCTGACTGAGGGCAGGGGTTACTGCAGTTGGATCCCGGGACGGATACCCTGATGCCGTCAATCCTTTTTCTGCACCTTGTCCTCACCCACTTACTGAGGTGTGGTGTGCCCGTAAGTGAGATCATTCGCATGTCCACCCATACCGGGCCATAGTTTGGGATTTGTGTGTGTGTGTGTAGGGGGGGGGGGGGGAGGGAGGGGGGGGGGAGTGTCGGCCGTTGGACGGTTCAATAGCCAATTGAGTCCTCTTCCCAAGATCCCTTTTGAGTCTCTCTCCTTTCTCCCGGGGAGACCCACGTAACCAAATTTGGCAGTGAGGGAAGTACAAGTATAAGTGTGTGTGTGTGTGCGTGTGTGTGTTTGTACATGTATGCTTGTGTGTGTGTGTGTGTATGTATGCTTGTGTGTGTGTGTGTGTGTGTGTGTATTTATGTGTGTGTGTGTGTGTGTGTGTGGGTGGGTGCGTGTGTGGGTGCATGTCGTTCTTCATGTTTTTTGATGGTTTTATTTTTCCAGGCAGAGTATATTGAACTCCGACAGCAAACAAAATGGCGTCTCTAGGTACGTTTTATTCCCGTAGCTATGCAGAAGACGTTACTTCAGTAACGTATGGCGCTAGCCAGGGTCCAACAGCTTTAATTTGGTGTTTGTTGGTTGGTTTGGTTGTGTTTATTTGAATTCGCAAACCGAATGGACTGAACATGTCCAATGACAAGGAAGCGAATGAAGTCCAAATAACCCAGGAATGGGGACACAGAGAAAAAAAATATATGGGAACAGAACGCTCTCAGCAAAGGAAGAAGAGAAAGGAAGGAAAGGAAAAGAATAATGGAGAAGAAGAAGAAAAATCGTGGTTTGTTTGTTTGTGTCACCCCTGGCGCTATCTCTTATCTGTCCCGTACCGTACCGTACCTTCAAACACAGCTGGCCACATACAGCTGGCCGCAATATTCAAATAGGGCTTTCAAACGAAAGATCATAACGTGAAGCAACTTGGAAGAATGAGTATGGAAGCGAAGTGTATGGGGGAATGCATGTAGGGCGATAGTGCGGGTTCGAATCCCAGGTTATGCCTGAAAAAATAGGAGAATTAATTTTTTTAAACATCCCTATGCTTTTTTTGCCTAGGTCATCAAGGCGGTAGACATTGTTGTATTACCCTCGACCGTACCTGTCCCATACCTATCCCGTACCTATCCCGTGCCTGTCCCATACCGTACCGTACCATCAAAGACGGCTGGCCACAATGCATATTCAAATAGGGCTTTCAAATGCAAGATCATAACATACATGTACATGTACATGTACATCCTTCGAAGCGGTGAACCCCTTGATAGGCGACAAGCCTCTGGGTCATCCTAATAAATATATTATTATTATTATTTTTTTTTTACGTGAAGCAACTTGGAAGAATTAGTATGTATGCGAAGTGTATCGGGGGATGCATACAGGGCGATAGTGGGGGTTTGAATCCCAGGTTATGTCTTAAAAAAAAAGAGAAATTGATAAGAATTTATAACATCCCTATGCTTTTTTTGTCTAGGGGCATGTTCGATTGTACGAATCCGTGAGCCCCGGACCCGGATTCGCCAAATTTGTACATGTTCGATTGTACGAATCCGGATCCCGAGAGCACGGATTCGGATCCAGCCAACCCACCTCCCAGAGACGGATTCGACAGATTCATTTCCATGGTACGACTCGTATCTACTCAAAACTCCCAATATGCGTACACTAGGTCAAGAGTTCACCACAATGAATACAGATACTACGGGATGAGCTGTAGCAACGCGGTTGCTAAGGCCTTGAAACGGATTATCGGCTGTGCACATTCGATTGTATCCGTCCGATCGAAGTGATCTGATCGGCGGGGATCGGGATCCAGTTTCTACAATCGAATGCAGCCTAGGTCATCAAGGCAAAAAAGCCTAGCGTAGGGCCCTGAGCTTCCAAACTCTCTCGTTACTTTTGTTATCTTCTGTGTAGGGATGAAACGAGTATCTATTTTGACCAATCGATCACTCATTCATAATACTCGATCGAGTATCCGATTATTTCGAGTATTTTATCAAAATTCCAAAGCGCTAGACTAGTGAATTCTTGACCAATTCGGAAGAAATTATCTGTGAACATAGAACAAAAGTCGCCAACGTCTTGTACAGAGTGTAAAGTACCGATTTTCATCCGTACTTCATAACTACCGTACTGGCAATATATATGGTCGCAGTGAGGCCATGAAGCGTTACATTGGCACGTGTTTACCGCACGCAGGGCGTTACTGTAACAGGTTTAATCAAACTTGAAAAGTAAGAGGCCTGGTTGAGCGTGCCTCGACCAGTTATATGCAAAACGTGATAGTATACATGTGGCAATGGCGCCAATGAAGGTGCTAATAGACAGGCGTAAGACGCATGAGGTGCGAGGGAGTGTAAAGTTATAGAGAACAGGGGAAAACTGTTACATCATCCCCCTCCTATGGAGAGGAAGGAGCTTATAACCCAAATGCTCAAGTGGAATAGAGTACAATAAGCGCAAACACGTGCGAGACGAAAAAAGGCTTCGCACTGAAGTAACACAATAAGACGACTGAAACTCCATGCAAATAAAGTGTAATAAGCTCAACAAATGTGTAAGGTGAAACTAGAAGTTCAACTGCAAAACTCAGCGGGCAGAAGCCAAGGTTTTGTACTTCTGAAGTGGAACAATGTCATTACCAGATTCATCCAACAAATAATGTTCAGGTTCCCAAGTGGCATCAGAGTAGCCTTGCCACTTGACTAGGTACTGAAGCTGATTCTGCCGGCGGCGGTGACTGAGAATGTTCTCCACCACATAGCGGGCATGACCATCAAGGTCCGTGATAGGCGGAGGCGTAGGCTGTCTCCTATTAGGAATAGCGTTCTTCTCGTAGGCGCGGAGTGCCGACACATTAAATACCGGGTGACAGCGGCTGGTATGAGGCAACTTGAGCTTGTAGGCATTCGGGCCGACCACATGGGTTATAGGAAAGGGGCCAAACCACTTGGGGCGTAATTTATGGGATGGTCGGTCCCGAGCTTCAGGAGTCAGGAGGAAATCCCGGTAGACCATTACCAAATCTCCCACCTTCAGCTTTCCCTCGACCCTTGTCCGATCTGCATAGAAGGCCTGACGAGCTTGCGCTGCCACTAACGCATCTTGTGAGATCTTGACCGCGTCTTGTCTTGCTTGCAACCAATCAGCTGAATCTCTGCCTCCCTGAATAGGGTTGAGGAAGTCGGGTGGCGCTCTGGGATTTAGACCGTAATTTAAGAAGAACGGTGTGTTTCCTGTAGATGATTGAGTAGCGCTGTTGATAGAAAACTCACAGAGAGGTAGGAGCATATCCCAGTTATCTTGTTTATGATTTACAAAAGCCCTCAGCACATCCTCTACTATTCTGTTTACTCGTTCAGTTAGGCCATCTGTCTGAGGGTGATTGGCAGTACTAAATGCTAGTTTCGTTCCTAAGCGATCAAACAATTCCTGAAAAAATGCTGCCGTAAATCTTGGATCACGATCACATACAATACTAGAACTCAAACCATGAAGTCGAAATACATGTTGAATATACAGATCAGCACTTCCTTTAGCGTCAATAGTAGAGGAAGTAGGTGCTAAATGTACACACTTTGTCAAGCGGTCTACAAATACATATATAGCATCATGACCTGTATCGGTCCTAGGCAAACCCATGATAAAATCCATCGAGATATCCGCCCACGGCTGACTGGGCACTGGTAAATTCTGCAAGAGACCAGTTTTTAGCTGGCCGCCTTTAACTCGTTGGCAGACGTCACATGACTTGACAAACGCCTTTACATCCAGTCCCATTCTGGGCCAATAGAAATATCTAGCGAGTCTGAAATAGGTGCGATCTCGACCGGGATGCCCCGCAGTCACACAGTCATGGTATTCTTGAAGCAGGGCGAGTCGGAGTTTGCTACTCTTTGGAATGCATAACCTGTTCTGTGGTGAAGATCTGAGATAAAGATAACCGGGTGTTTCATTTAGAAGGTAACGGTCGTGCAGATTGTCATGGCTTGAATTTTTCAGTCTCCTGATAATGGGAGCAAGATCCTTGTCGCACTTGTAACCGCTGACAATTAACTGGGCTAAGTCTGGATTAATCTCTAGGGTATGCTCTATGGCATTCAACTGAATGTTAGGAGGATAGGATGACCCGCCTATTTCAGAATCACTGAACAGATCTGGACGGCGTGAAAGCGGGTCGGCAATGTTTTTCTTTCCTGGTTTGTGAAAGACCGTAAAGTCATAGTCAGCTAAAAACTCTACCCATCTTGCCTCACGCTTGGTGAGAGTCGGTTTGGTTCGTAAATAGACAACACCCATATTATCAGTCATCAGGTCAAAGTGGCGGAATAGATAGATTCTCCAGCACTTTAATGCAAATACCACAGCCAACGTTTCCCTCTCGGCCGCAGTATAGTTGCGTTCTGCAGCTGACAGTTTCCGACTACAATAGGCTACGGGATGCAAATCCATATCTTCTCCCTGCTGCAGGAGCACACCCGCCACGGCAAAGTCACTTGCGTCAGTTTCTACGGTGAAGCTTTTCTCAACATCGGCCAGTTGCAACACTGGCGCCTCGAGTAATGCTGATTTTAGAGACTCGAATGCCTTCTGTCTAGCAGCGCTCCATTCAAAGCGTGAATTTTTTCCGGTGATTTCTTCTAATGGACGAGAGATGGTCGAGTGTCGATCTATGAACCTTCGGAAATAGTTTGCAAAGCCAAGAAACTTCCTCACATCAGTTACTGACGACGGAGTTGGCCATGTTTCCACAGCACTTATCTTCTTGGGATCAGGGGAAATTGATGTGCCGTTGATTTTATGCCCCAAGAAGAGAACTTCTCTCACGCCGAATTCGCATTTAGACTGTTTGCAATACAGCTCACTATTTCTAAGTGTTTCTAGAACTGTTTGAAGATGATGCTGATGATCTTCCCAGGTCTTGCTGAAAACTAGAATGTCATCCAAGAATACTACAACGAATTTTCGGAGATGCGGTTGCAGAATAGAGTTCATGAGTGACTGAAAGGTGGCCGGGGCATTAGTCAGCCCGAATCCCATGACTCTAAATTGGAAGTGGCCGAACGGCGTATTAATGGCCGTCTTAGAAACATCCGAGTCTTGAATTCTGATTTGATTGTACCCCGACCGCAAGTCCAACTTGGAGAAATATGCACTGCCCTGGATCGTGTCGAATAAGTCATCAATATTAGGAAGACAAGCTTTGTTTTTGATCGTAATTCTATTCAATTCTCGCCAATCGCACACCATTCTCAGAGTACCATCCGACTTTTTCACAAAAAACACAGGTGCACCGTATGGCGACTTACTTGGCTCAATGAATCCCTTCTCAAGTAATTCTGACAGCTGTGACTGGAGCTCGTCCATCTCTGGTTTCGGCAGGCGGTAGGCGGGTCGAGACGGTGGTCTGGCTCCATCTTCTATCTGGATTTCATGGTCGACTGGTCTCTTTGGTGGAAGCTCATTCGGCAGCTCGTCTGGAAATAAAT